TGTATAAGAGACAAGATAAAATTTTCTAAATTAGCCTGAAGCAGAATGCACAAGCTTTTGTCTTACAAAAGAAACAGAAATCTTTGATCTTTTATCTTGAACTAGGCTATTTTTAGAAGGGTAGAAAACAGTCTTCTGGAGAGTCTTGGTCTTTTGCCTCTGATACCTGAATGGATGATATATAAAGATCGGCTCTATGCTTCCACCTTACCTTGGCATTGATATGCTTTTTTTCTCCAATAATGCAATCCCTAGTGCTTGTTTAATTCCAAGATTAGTCTCCTGTCTTGCCTTTATTTACTCAGGCATGTGGTAACACAGAAGATGTTGAAGACTGGCAGTTGTCTAACTGGGGGAATCAGAGTTAAAAGCCCTGGTACTATGCTGAGATGTAGTATTCACAGATGAAGATTATGAGCTACTGTTCCTTTGGAGTTCAAGTGGGCAAAATCATGACAGAAAGGAAAAAACAGTGAAAAGGAATTAAAGAAAGAGGTATTACAGAAACTGGAAAAAAACACTTGGGGGGGGGAAAGGAATTTAAACAGTATATGGTTGTTTTCATTGAAAAAGTTGAGAAATCATTTAGTAGTAGGAACTACATCTCCCTGCAAAAATTAAAATGTTTCATGGTTCACTGGAAACTCAAATGGAAGGATCCCAGTCTAAACTGCTAGAACAAAACAATAGCAATATCTACACCACCTAAAAAATATTTTCAGTTTAACATTTTAGCTACTGTTATATGGCAGAAGATTTATGCTTAAGACAAACAGAACCCAGATAGTACAGGTTTAGATATAAGAATCTTGAAAGGCACCTGAAAGGTACTTTGTAAGATGTCTGGGAAAACTGCAGCATTATGAGGTGGCATATATGTTTAAGTTTTGTAACTTGTCCTAGCTACAAGAATAACAAAATGATTGCTTACTGTAGTTGAAACGTGGCCACCAAAGATTAGACTGGAAAAACAGTAGTGAGTTTTCTGGGTTTCTCAGCAGCAAAAGACATTTTTTTTGTTGGTCAATCAAAGGCAGTCTAAGAGAAAATCTGTTAGAGAAGCAGAGAACATCACTGTGTAGATAAGTAGGGGGCTAAGAACAGTCTAGACCATTGATGTGAAAATGTCCAGATAACAAAGCATGCAGTAACAGTTAAATTTATGTAACCTGAAATTTAAAAATTCTTTCTTTTCTCTCCATTGATCATACATTGTATAAGGTGCATATGTTAGATGATGATTAGAGCTGAGAAAGGTGTGTTATAATGCACATTAGAAGAAATTTATGAAAGGTGTTTGGCTTAGTGTCTTCCTTCAGAAGAAATGTAAGAAGGCAATAAGCTCTTTTACAGAATAAAGTAGGTGAGACAGTAGGAGCTGGATCTGCTGACAAAGAAAAATGGAGCTAAGTGATCAAAGAGATTTCAATAGCAGCTGAACAGTACATCATAGACCTGTGGATCTGAAATAGAAGCAGCAGCTGAAATGTTCAATATTCAGAAAATATCCAGAGGTAACATTAGAAATTATCATTGGAAGCCATAGAGCCAAGTAAGGAAGGAGATTTGGAAGACAGCTGGGAGGGAGATTACTGGAGCTGTGTGGAAGTTGGGTACGTTGAGGGGAATTTGGAAGCTGTGGGTGGCCCAGATCATGATGAAAATGGTAAGTTACTGAGCACTGGGAACAACTATAGGGGGTTTATGACAAAATTTTACGCTTTCTCAGTAGGATTATTCATTTAACAACTTTTTATGTTTTTATACTTGCAGGATAGAACAAGCTTTGGAAGAACCAGATCAGCATTTGAAAACAATAGAATCACAGGTCTCAAAATGCAGAGATAATATGTTTGGACAGATGTGACTGTAATGCTGTCAGCTGCTGCTATTCCATATCAAGGCCTCTAATAGTAGCTGTTTATTCTTCAAGTCAAAGCGCTTGAAGACATGTGATTAGAGGCAAATATTAGCTTTTTTTTTATTTTTTTTTTTAAGGGAGATTCTGAGAAAATATTGAAATCATCACTCAAATGTACACTAACAGTTACAAATACACACAACAAAAATAGCCTGAAATTGTTTATTTTAAATCAGATTTTTCACAATCAACTCTTTCAAGACCAGAACCACGATTTGCTAACATTTGATAATTAAATGATGTAACTGAGGGCAGAAATTGGTCAATGGATTCTGTTACAAATTATGACTGTGAAAGGAAGGAATGAAGCACCTTGATATTCAGATTGTATTTCCACGGATCCAACAGGGATTTTGTCAGTACTTTTAAAAGGCTGATTTTTTTCCCAACTGATTTTTTCCTCCCATAAAAATATTTTGTAATCAGAAAGAGAAAAAAACCAGTCAGAAGTCATTGTGACACAAAAACTTCAAAAGCCCTGAGTTACTTTGACATTTTTTCAGGCTGTAGCAATTTTTAGTATGGGAACTGGAAGGAGAATCATAGAGCAAGCTGTATGGTACGATGGGCAGAAATGTTTCAGTTTTATGTAAATCAAAGTCTCTTGGTAGTCCAATTTCTGCTTCTGATATTTAAAAGTCTCTTATTTTTCCTTGGCTCTCATACCTTTGCTGGAATTGCTTTCTGTCGCAGGAGTAGAATTACATATGCTTTCTCAGGTCCAGCTGACTCATAGTTGTTTCACTCTTTGTCCTGGCTAAATTGACCAATACTTACTGACAACTTGTTACCAGAAAACAGCATTTTCTTGTTCTTTGCTGATTATTACATCCTATATCGGGCATGACTGTTTCTAACCACAATGTGATGATAAAAGGAAGAAAGCAATTTCCTCTTGAAAGTTTTACTTTCTGCTGTTAGGCAGGTATTTTCCTTATTGTTCTCATTGAATCAAAAAATGATTTCTTTTTCTCTAGAATAGTAGAAAGTTTCAAGTGATGATGGCACTAACTTTTGAATTCTGGGCTACTGTTTTAGTCTATCACAACCAAAGGAAAGATAATCATACTCAGCATGTCAATCAGCATTATTTCTTTTGTATTACAGCCTCCACAGCTAGTTTTAATGACTGCAGTTTCTATATTGTAGCTACTGAATAAACACTAATTAGCTGTTGGGCACAAAAGTCTTAGTAGACTGAAAAGAACTGTCTGGGCATCCCACTAAGCCAGCAAATAATGGAATATGTACTAAATGTGAGGACAAGAGTTTTAACTGGTAACCTTACGAGAAAAAAAAAGGGAGTGGATCATGACAATCACCAAGTTCATTGTAAGGTTCAGTACTGACAAACATATATTAAAAAAACTCTAGGCAGGCCAAGTTGTTTTCTTGTCTTTTTCTGATTTTATAGTCCATTTTAAAAGTTCTAGTGTTGTTTTCAGTCAACAATGAAGTATGGTTTTCCTTTATTATATTATTTTGAAGTTAAATTGCCCTTTTCTCTCTAGCAATGCTTTTTGTTCTGATAATCCTGAGGTTATAGAAGCAAATTTTCTTTTTCACAGATTTGAAACCTGCAGTCTTAATGGAACCTGAGATGTCCTGTCATAGAAGCTAAAGATTTTAGAGTAACCAGTATTAAAAATCACAACAAAATCAGGAGTGGACAAAATTTAGAGTTGCAAGTAACTCAGAATAAAATGTAGCCCACAAAATTAGTTGTTGAAGAGGATGTATGAACTGGAAGAATCACAGGTTTAACCTTGAGATGCTTTTATGAGCCTACAGTGCTGACAGTTAAACAAATTTCTTTTTCATTGCATAAAGAGAAAATACAAAGAGGACAAAGGGTGAGTGGGCCACTAAACAGTTATCATATACTGAGGTATTAGCAATGTATCAAACACTGGAATAAATTCTGGAATTATGCTGTGGTAAGTCACAATACTTATTTTTCCCATTCTTGTCCATAAGCTGCATCCCTTGTTTATATTGCCTCTGCAATGATGTGATACTTAGCATGAAGTGTCTATGATTTATGCAAGTATATAGACCTCCAGAGAATGGGAATGACAGCAACGCAAACTATTAGTCCCTAACTCCCCAACCCAAACCATTTACTACCCAGCTGTTGAATAAAACATTTGATTTGGGACATAAACTTGCTTGGTTTGGATTTTTATTTTTTTTAATTGAGAAAGTTACTTACTGGAATTCAGTGTTTGGTTGAAAAATTACCGATGGGACTTTTTGAGCAGCTCTAAAACTGTCTGTTCTAGTGAACTATGCAACATGGGTGTTTACTTAGTCATGGATTATCCTACTGACAGAACAATATTAAACATGTGTTCAAGACCTTGCTCCTTGAGGCAAAGGTTTGCTTAAGGCAGGAAAACTGAGAAAGTTCTGAAGTCACTTATCCAAGGCAATTTATTTATTTGTATACATACAACCTAAAACAGCTCACCTGAAAGCTAAGACCTTTTTGTCTTTGTCAATTTTCAGACAGCAGTTTGGTCATGAGCTTATTTCTAAGCAACAATCGACAAAAACATGTTAGTGGAAAATGAACAGTGTGTATATAGAATCGGTCGTGGGTTATTTAAGGACAGCTCTGGTAAATAAAACTAGTTAGATATGGATCTAACTAAACACATACCTACCTACAGCTGTATTCGACAATTGCTTTTTTTAGGTGACGGTGTCACCTGAACCACATATTCCCATAGCCGAACTCATGTGAGGATCTTCCCTTCGTGCCTCTTTTCAAGTGCGGGAGCGAAGCGCAGGCAGAGCTCTGCACGCCTAAGGCACAGCCCGGCCGAACGCTGCTCCAGAGGCAGGACAGCAGCTGGGGGGTCACCTGGGCTTGGAGCTCGGGACGTGGAAGAAGAAGAAGAGGAGGAGGAGGAGGAGGAGGACCAGGAGGGGCAAGGCCCCCCCCCCGAACGCCCCCCCGTGGCCGGCGTTACCTGTGCCCCGCGGCGCCCCCGGCTCGCCCCGCCCCGGTCCCTCCCGCTCCGGGCGGCGGGGCGGGGGCGGGCCCGCACCGCGGCTATTTGGCCCCGCACCGCGGTCCCCGCGCTCCTCTGTCGCTCTCGCCGCAACCCAGAACTCACCCGCCGGCCCGCGCTCGCCCCCGCCATGCCGAACATCGTGCTGTTCAGCGGCAGCTCCCACCACGACCTGTCCCAGCGGGTGGCGGACCGGCTCGGGCTGGATCTGGGCAAGGTGGTCACCAAGAAATTCAGCAACCAGGAGACCAGGTGCGTCCCCGACCTCCACTCCCCGCGTTACCCGCTCTCACGCCCCGCTGGCGTCACGGGCGCGCCCTGGACACACCCCCGTGGCCGGGCTGCTGCTGCCGGCGGGTCCCGCCCGGTGTCACCCCCGCGTCTCGCGTGTGGGTGCCCCCCGGCAGGTGCAGATGCAGGCGCGGGGACACGGGGTGGTCCGCTGTGTCATGGCCTGTCCCTTCCTGGTTGTCCCACCATCCCTGACCGCCTGCGGAGCACGAGCACCGCACGGGAGGCGTCCCGGCTGGCTTGTGCTGGCTCGGCTGGGCAGTGCTCCTGTCGGGTGCTCTTAGAACGGAGCAGGGCTTGCACGGCCTCGGCCGGGCAAAGAGCATCCTGCCTCCTCTGAGGTGAGGATGGTGTTTGCAACAGGTGGGCTGTCTGCGGCAACAGGTGCATCCCACCGCTCGCAGATAGTTAACTATGCGGTTGATCAGCTTTGTCTACCTGAAAAAAAATCATCTTGATTTTATGAACTACAGTATGTTATGTAGTTTTGTAAGGACAGGATGGTGATGACGCTTTAAAAAGGGCAAATCACAGAATTTGTCGCAACCGGTCGTTATTTTGCATCAGCAGCCAGTTGTGCGTGTGGTGGACCGATTACAGCTCCTGTATGGCTTCCCTCCATAGCCCAAGACTGATGGTCATGCATGAGGGTAATACAGTTGTTGTGATGGCCTTGGCTTACTCCTAAAAGTACTCGGTTGGTTAACTGTGGCCAACGGGCATCTTCTGATGCGGTCAAAGTTTAAGAGACAAAGGCATACACCTGCCTTCAAAGGTGTACCCAAATTGACACTCGCATGCTGGAACATCAGAACCATGCTTGATACTACGGATAGCGGACATCCTGAGCGTTGTTCTGCCCTAATTGCCCGCGAACTGTCACGTCTCAACATCAACATTGCTGCTGTCAGTGAAGTTCATCTCCATGAGGAAGGCAACCTTAGAGAACATGGTGCTGGTTACATACTCTTTTGGTCAAGTAAACCCAGAACTGAAAGGCATCTCTCAGGAGTTGGCTTCATGAGTAAAAACTCTATTGTCCCTAAACTTGAAAATCTGCTGACAGGTCACTCTGACCGCATTATCTCCCTACTCCTTCCACTACACAACAAGGAACATGTTGTCCTCTTTAGTATATATGCCCCAACTCTCCAAGCCGACCCTGCTGAAAAAGATAAATTTTATACTGACCTGCGCCGCCTTACCCAAAAGGTACCTGCAGATGATGAGATCATTAAATTTTATATCAATTCCTAAAAGTGCAGTCATACCATGCTCCTGGCCAGCCAAATGCAGAAAATAACGCTGGCAACAGTGCAAAAAATTCTGCATGAAACTATCAGGATAGCTTGCTCACCTGGAGTCTCTGAGAATGTGCTTGCCAGTGCTTTTTCTACCAATACTATTTCTCTTTACTAGTTTGTCATCTTAGCTTTCTGACCCACCTATTTTGCTCAATTTTAATGAAGAATTTTAAATTCAGGTGAAAGTGGTACGTTTATCCCATGAGCTGGTACGACTGTGCAGCTGTTTTCTATGTAGATGTGTCAGTCTAGGCTGCCAGCTTATTCTGAAACACAACTTTCTGACTATAAGTAGCTGACTAGTCTCTGAAGTTCTTGTATGTTTATTTTTATCTGTTCTTGTTCTGAAACTCCTGAAAAAGTGTGTTTCCATTGCTTCCTTTGAAAGATTAACATGATGTATTCTAAAGTTGCTCTCACAAAGCTTGTCCTTCTCTTCTGTCTACATTTTTGCATTCTCAGTTTAATTGCTCTTGTTCTAGTTATGCTCGCTGGCATTACTATAAACCCTCTTCCATTGGTGTTTATGCAACCTAATGTTTGCACACTCTAGCTCTTCTATTCATTCCTGATTAAATGAAAGCTTAAATCTTCTCTCAAGTCTTTCCAGCCTCATACTCACTTTATTGCTCTTTGATCTCTTTCTGCATGATAAAACTTAATTTGTGTATTTGGCTGCATGACTTTCTTGCTAACTTGTCTAATTTATTTTTTTTTAATGTTTGTTCTTCAGAGACACTTATCTTAATTTCTGCTTAAAACATAACAAACAGCAGAACTAAATTGATTTAGATTTCATCCAAGGTAGAAGTTTATCTCCAAAGTTTGCGTATTTATTTTACGAGGTAAGTTAAACTCTAGGCTTCAGGATGCCATAATCTCTAGTCTGTCATTCTACCTATTTTTCCAGGTGTGGAATATTGACCTCTACCATTAACAAAGAAGGTAGTGGTGGCTACAGTATGTCAGTGGTTTGGCTAATCTCGTAGTGCCAGTTTATTTTCTTAGGCAAGTAGGGATGTAGTGTGGTATAGATATGAGGAATGTACTTAACAGAAACATGTTTCTAGTTGCTTCTGTTGCAACACCGTGATGCTGACATTATCTTTCTTTTATTCCCTGAACTAAAATGCCTTACCACTTTAAATTTTTGTGTTCGGTTTAGGTTTTTTTTGTTGTTGTTTGTTTTGTTTGTTTTGGTTTGGTTTTGGTTTTTTTTTTGGTTTTTTTTTTACAACTTTCTACTTTTGAGATTCTAATACGAAGTTCTTGTTTCCCCTTCAGCAAATAAAGTTGTATCCTCTATATAATGTTTTAAGTGGGTAATTTTTGCAATATCCTTAGCAACTTATTTCGAGATATTGACTTTCCAGTTTTCCAGATTAATGTCCTTAATAAAAAAAAAATAATTAGCAATAGTAATGAGAGAATTCCTCAACAATGCGTTTGAGATTAAACTAAAGGTAAAGCTGATATTTGTGCTGCAGTGGTCCTTTCGTAAGGCCTTTGGATTTTCAGTGTACCTATATAACAAAATTTAATTGTGTGTGTATGTAAGCAAAAATTCTTCCCATATCAAGTGAATCATGCACAGTCTTTTTTTCCCCCTTATTTTTGTTGCATTTTTAAATTTATAAACTAGTGTATTGGCATTACAAAATACACGTGCAGTATTGCAGAATACTAGAACCTGATAGTTAAAAAGCTCAAAGAACCGTAAACCTTCCCAGTGGCAGTCGGACAAACCCCTGTGCAAACAGATAAGCCTGGGTCTGAGGGTCAACAAACTCGTTTTGTCAGATCTGTAAGTTAGCAAGTTGCAGAGAAGGTTTACTTGTTAAAAACTCTATTTTCTTTTTGCTGCATTCTCTTAAATATAAATGATGCCTAAATTGATAGCTGTGTGCAGCCCCAGGCTTAAAATCCTTGTCAAAGGGTTTTGGCTGGAAGCTCTTTACTGGAGGGAAGAGCCATTATATTTCCACTCAAACAGGCTTTAGGTTTCAGTCCCAGTCCTTAGCAGGTGTAAGTGGGTTTGAGAAAGTAATGCTGAGGTTAGCCAGGGATAGGACCACTACTGACAAGCACTGTGGCTAAATAGGCAGGTACAGTCCCAACTCCAGAACATTTAAAATGAGAAAGGCTTCTCTTTTTAGTTTATTCTGAGACTGGTATATCTAGTGGTGTCACAGTTCTCTTTTGATTTAGGCATTCAGTATTCTTGCAGGTGTGTAATTGATGAATGTAATGTTTGTGCTAGAGGAAGTGAGGGAAATTGCTGGTAGACTCAATCACTGCCCCATTTTTTTCTTCCCTCCATCTAAACTGTGTGGAAATGCTTTCCTTCAGCTGGATACTAAAGTCAAGCAACCCTAACAAATGCAGTGAGAGAGCACCTCAGTAATATCTGGTTGTGGAAGATAAGTCTGTTTAGTATTCAAAGCTTCTGTGTCCGTTATGTGCCAGCCACGGTGCCATGGTAGGAGCTTGGGTGGCACCACCTTATTTATTTGGCAAAATGATAAGGGCTGCAGTGGGGGGCTTAGTCAGTTTATCTTCTTCAAACCCGACAAGCAATTGTCATCAGCAGAGTTGTGCAGGCTGGAGGAAGAAGAAAGGAATGGAAGTCCTTAAACAGGGGTGGCTGTTGTAGCCTCAGCATCTTGAAGCTCTCTTTTACAGACATGTAAAACATGTCTGTAACAGATGCATACAGATATTAAACGCACTGAAGCTTTTCACAGAATTGTCTCCAAATACACTGAGATGGCATTTCATTATAGTTGACACACAAATAAACCCCAGTGCAGATATTTTTGGTGACTCAACTGAGTTTTTAAAAAAAAAAATCATTGAATGTATCACTTCATAAATAAATATATTTTCTTACAAGATATGGTATTCTTGCTTCTCTAAAGACTATTTATTTTAACTCTACCCTTAAAGTACTTTTTATTCTCAAACTGGAGAAACTAGAGTGGTAGATGGCATTCTTTTACATACATCTCTCCTGGTGAAAGAAGTTGGGGCTCCTGCTCATTCCTGTGAGCTTCCTTGCTTCTTCCTGTCAGATTCAGTGTCTGAAGTGAATCTTTTCTTGATCCAAGAGGAAGGGATTTAAAGTCCTGCCTGGGACATGTGAATTTGAAGGCTTCCTACCCACAGCTTTATTTAGCTACTGGAGGTGGGTTGTTTCAGAAACATCAGCTTAAAGTGAATGCCATTTAGCTTTTGCAGAGGGAAATATGGCTTGACTACCAAGGGACATTGCGTGCTGTATGGGAAAAGCTGTGCTGTTGGTATGAGGGCCATGTGTTTGTAACTAAATAAACAAAACTAGTATCTTGGACTGAAATTTAATCTTGGAAGTTAGGAAAAAGTAGCGGATGTTTCCTTGGAGAATTCATGCAAGGATGGGTTTGGGTCTCTATTTCACACAAAGTGGGGTAATGAAACTGTTTTTTTTCTATCAAGTAAATAATTGAAAGAAGCAAGAACAAACCTAGAAACTTATATATCAGGAATGCACAATTCAGCACCTGGCTGTAAAATGTCCCTCTTATCTTCCCTTCAGCATCCTCCAAATCTTGTACTGCAGTTGTCTCAGATGAGACATGACCTGATTGCATCTCATGTAATCTGGTTTGAGTTCAGCTG